AAAGACAAAACCAATGTTCCCTATTCATATGCAGATTCTAGCTTGTACATGTGTATGTATATAAGTGGGAATAAATGTGGGTAAAGCCTACAATACTACAATGGACTCCAAGAAAGAGTAAGGAGATTCTGAGGAGGGAGAGGGAGGACAAAAGAACATACATGACATGAAACCAGATGGGGTGCAGGACAGAAACAAAGGGGGTTAAAGTGTAGGGAAATCAAAACAACAGTTTTTTGAAAGTGCCATAGTGATAATTAACACTTTGTATGTTAACTTTTTAGATAGATCAGAGTATATTTTGCCTTCTAGTAAAGCTATCCCTATAAACATACATATATGTTATATATATAAATTTTCACTGTTTATATATTAAAACTTCCACTGGATATTTTGAAACCTCACTATATACATACAAAACTTCGAATATATACTAAGATCATTGTTGTTAAAACTATAATAAAATCTCACTAGGAAAACTGACATTTTTAAGAATCATTTTTATTTTTAATTATAAGTTTATGTATCTATATATAGTTATATGCACATGAATGTAGTTGCCCTCTGAAGCCAGGAGAGTCAGATCCCTCAGAGCTGGCACTAGAGTCAGTTATCAGCTGCCTAACATGGGTGCTGAGAGCCCAACTCGGGTCCTCTGTGAGAGTATTATGCTCTCTTAATCACCTCTCCAACTTCAAAATTGGTATTTTTAAACAGACATGAACTTAACTCTCAATGCAATTATTTCCACATTCTCACTGCTCTGTCTTCACGTGACCCCATCCCCCAAAAAGGAAAAGGGGGGAATCCCTTAAATTAGAACCAAGTGAAATGGCTACTGCCTATAACTATAGTAGGGAGGCTGAGGCAGGAGCATAGTAAATCTGAGATAAGCCTACACCAGGGCAAGACTCTCCAAAAAATTTTTTAAAAAGCAAATAATTTTAAAAATTGTAATTCTTTTCACCTTTCCTGGTTTTACTTTATACTCCTCACCATTATGGATTTCCAAAAACATAAATTAAAATTAAATTTAAAAAAACTTAAAATCCAGTAACACATTACTCTATACAAAACAATGAAAATAGCAAATTTTCATAAGATGGTAGGAAAGCTTTGCATCCACTCTGAGACTCCTAAAGCTTTTATTTACCAGAATCAGTCAACATGAACTGTAAGAATTAAATAACACTTCTGTGACTGTACAAAAATTCTGGTTCTCTGATCCATTTGAATGTTTGATTGTATTCAAACATGTACAGAACTTAAGAATCCTCCCCCAGGGGATATGTTACAAAAATTCATAAGCAATGAAACTAAGAGACTATTCAAAAACAGTAAATACATCAAATATGGCTATTTATTTATAAACTCACATGCAAGGCTAAACTGACTACTTTTTTCCTAGAAAAAGTACATCTCATATGCTTACAAATACTTTGTATCTCAAAGGCCTCTGAAATACTTCTTTTGCCCTTCGGTGTTGGAAACCAAACCCAGGGCCTCTCACATGCAAGCTAAGTTGTACACAAAGCTACACCTCCAGCCGTTATTTTCCTGATCCCTAACTCACAGTTAAGCAATACTGTTTTAGGCCATTAATGAGTATGTGTACCTAAAAATGCTTTTCCACACTTATAACCAGAGCAGTAGCTGGCAGTACTGAAATAGAGCATCCACTGCGTGCCAAACATGTGTGTTTCCTCTTCCTTTTCTCACAACCTTACTGAAAGGATTATCATCTGGATGCAGGTAAGAAAACAGATGTACAAATTCTAGATATTCTAAGGAGAAAGAGAATATGAGAATGAATACGGATTACATGGCCATGGTTCCAACAGGTCTGTAAAAGTCAATCCTTTTCCCACTGAACTGCACACTTAGGCTGTTCTTCAAGTACTGGTAATAGAACACAGCTTTTCACCTCTCCTCTCCCCCAACCCCCACCTGCGCAGTGAACAACGCACACTGTTTCTTTGTAAGACCCGGTTCAGAAAAGAGCAATCTCTGGCCACAACACTGACCACAGCCTAAAAGCACCAGATCTGTATTGTGACTCCACCCACAGTCAAGGTCTAGCTGTGTGGGCTAAAAGTAAACAAACACAAACGTGAAGACGGTGAGGCAAATCTGCAAATAAATACAACGAAATGCCGTTTATGCACAGTTCTGAAATGCACTGAGTCGGCCGGCAGATTTACCTTTATCTCCGCTTTTTGCTTTGATTCTTCTAAAATAGCTTTCCAGGAGCACACAATGAGTTGATGACCACAGAGGCTGCTTGGTCTAGGTTTGGGAGGCTTGAGGAAAACACGTTGGGTTTGTACATGATTACGCTGATGGGCAACTGAGGCAGCGAGAAGCCGTAAGGCAGCATCTAACAACGCTGTAATGTGCTTCCACTGTGTACAAACAGCCCAGGTAAACTCAACACAATCCTCCCAAACAGGCTAAGCTCAATAAGCTGGCTGGGTTAAGATGACAGCTCCGGGAACTTCCTCTTCCTCACTGACCACCTCAGTCCCATGTGTCCACGCCTTTCCCTCTAGGAGGCAGGGCACAAGCCATTTCAAATTCACAAAACTGATCCCATCCCACCATCACCACAGGCCAAGAAGGCCAGTTTCCCTTCCTTCCTTCCTCTGCCTTTCCCTGGGTGATTTTTTTCATAGGGTTAGGGGGGGAAAAATCTTACCAACGATAAAGTCATCTGCAACAACAACAACAACAACAACAACAACAACAACAAAAGAACGTATTTAAAACTCAGTCTCTCCTCGCACAGGCTCCAAGGAAGGCCGTCCAGGAGGAGCTGCGAACCCCACGTCGTCTTCCGAGATTGACTGTTTTGATTCACTTTCCCTGGGGTTCCCCCCCTCCCGCCAGCCGGGGAAAGGGCCTGCAGTTAGAACGCCAAAATCTGCCTTCGCCTCCCCTTCTTCGGGAGACGCGGAGGCGGCCCAGGCCGGCCGCCGCCACCCGCGTGTCCCGCCCCCCGACCCTCACCTGGCCAGGCCCGGGGCAGCGCC